CCCAATATTGTGTATGAAACTTAGAATTTGAAAGGTTCCTGGTGTGTAACTTATAAAATACACATGCAATTGTGATTCACTTGAGACAAGAACACTCAAAATGGCTATTGTGAAAATATCAAAGACTACAGAGATCATCCTATGAAATACAAATTGCCATAAACATTGTGTTTAGCATAGAAAAGTTTTAATAAATCTATAATTCTGTTAGTTCTCCAATGAGTTAGTCATATTTTCGACATTTGACCTTGAGCATTGAACTTCTGACCTTCTAATTAGCAGCCAAATGCCTTATCCACTACACCACCAGAGTACCTTTTGCACAAATTATCTTTCTAGAATTTAGTTTCCTCTGAATTGATTCCTTCTTGTAAGCCCTAGAAAGCAGCAGAGTCTTGGGTAGCTGAATTTATAAGCCAGAACTAATACTTAATTTGATTTGAATCCATTCTATTTTACTGCATTTTACATATAATGCCATTATAAAAATTTATTACGTGTGTGCTCTGTGTGCCAAGTCCTGTTTGGGAGATGATAACAGACCTGAGAGATACTCTCCATGCCTCCAAGACTTTTCAATCAAGGACTGAAATGCACACAAATAAGTAGCTCTAAGTGAAGACATCAATAATTTATTCTTTCACTCATTCAGTCATTGAATAGTTTTTGTTCTTCCCATGATCCTGGCACTACCCTAGGCCCTGGACTGGGATGTGTCCTTGGATAAATTACTAATACTCTCTTAGGGGACACAGAGTGAAGGAAGAGGGGATGAGGGCAACCTGTTCACTACAACTGAAACTTGAGGATGTGAGCAGGCAGACGTGAAGTGAGGACATGCTCAGTTATACCTACACTAGTAACTTCAGCTAGGAAGTGGAGCTGTAAAGGTAAAGTTGGCTAAGCCAACATCTCATACAGGGGTTAAATTGCCAGCAAATGCATTTGGGCTCTGTCCTACTTGTGATGGAGAGATAACAGAGTTTAAGTACAGCCATGGCTGCAGTGTGGAAGGCAATAGAGCAGGAAGACCAACATATCAGAGGATTATGCTGCAAAGGTGGAGATAGAAGAATGTGACCTATACGGAGAGGAACTGGAGCTGGGCCCCATCAAAGAGAGCTCAGTGAGCAATGATGGCCCAGCTCAGAATGAAGCCTAAAATCCATTCCTTTTGGATGTCTCTAAATGGCCCAGGAACTGCATCGGGAAACAATTTGCTATGATGGAGCTGAAGGTAGCCGTGGCCCTGATTCTGCTCCGCTTTGAGTTATCACTGGACCCAACAAGGGTTCCCTTGCCAATTGTTGGACTTGTGTTGAAGTCCTGCAATGGAATTCACCTGCATCTGAAGAAGCTCCTCTAACCTGGTAGGGCCAAGGTAGGCTCATTCCATCTACTTCCCTTAGACAGCCTCATGACTTTCACTCTGTCTTTCCATCCCCCTGCCTCTGTTCCTGGTGTATCTGCCCAGCCTCCTGTTTCCTATCTTTCACCTCCCTGATGTCCTGCCTCCTGTCCCCCAAACTGTTTGCCCCTCTCTCTGCCAACCGTTCTCAGGTTCCCTCCCTACTTGTGTGTCTACCTTTCTAACCCTGTATCTCTGACTGTCCAACTAACTCCTAATCAGTTGCCTGACATCTAGCCTGTCTTCTCATCTACCAGTCTTTTCCCTCTGCCTGTTTGTCTAGCCCTGTATGAGTTTCCTGTTGCTGCTATAACAAATTACTATAAACTTTGTGACTAACAACAACACTTATTTGTTCTCTTACAGTTCTGGAGGTCAGAAATCTGGAATGGATTCCACCAGGCAAAAACCACAGTGGTACCAGGACAGTCTCCCTTGTGAGGCACTGGAGGAGATCCTATTTTCTTGCCTTTTCCAGCTTCTCAAGCTACCGTAATCTACAGAGTCACTCTGTGTTGGAATAGACTCAATGGCAACAGGTTTAGAGCTCCTGTTCTTCACTTCCTTTATTCATGGCTCCCTCCTCCATCTTCAAAGACTGCAGCATCTAAATCTCTCTTTGCTTCTGCTTTATATTGGTTTCTCCCTTATAATGAATTTTGTGATAGCTTGGTCTCACTAAGATAATCCAAAATAAACTCTCCATTTCAAAATTCTTAATGTAATCATGCCTGCAAAGCCCTTTTTGCCATATGAGGTAATATAGTCACAGTTTCCACATATTTGTTAGACATTTTGAGGCCATTTTTCAGTGTGCCTCAGTCCCTTTATGACTGCCATCTGGTCGTCACACCTGAATCTCACCTGTCTAT